AATAAAAACAACAACAGCTCTCTGCAATCTCTAAACAATGAAGAAATCTAAATATCCAAAATAATGCGGGCAAGATCAAATCTGACAAATGTTTTTATTTTTAATTAGTTTCACGCCCCCTCAAATATTGTCCACGCTCCTTTTGAGACGAGCGACACTGGTTGAGATCTACTGCTCTATGATTTAAGTTTGTGCCTATGAAGTAAAAAGAAATATTTTCACGTTATGTCGGCGTCCCGGTAGGATGACGTCATATGTTTATATTATGTGTCACGGTTTTGTAATATGACGGCACGTTTCATAGGTTTGAATTAGGGCTTTGAGCAGACTGATAATGAATTCCTATACTGTTGAATAAATATTCATTTAAAATTTTCTGAACAATTCAAATTTCATAAATTTTCAAATCCAAACTTATTATTCCTTTGTACCAGTTTAACACTATACCATTCGACCATTCGTCTGGGATGTGGGAACAGCCACATCCGGATCAGAAATAGGAAGCAAACAAGAATAAATGATTTGAGGGTGTCCATATAGTCTTAAAATGTTTTAAAATTACAAAGGGAATTTATAGATACTACTCATAGATGTATAAAATGAAGTAAAAATACTCAAACACTTACTGATTAAAAAACAACAAACCTGGTTAAGACATATTGAAAACTGACTTCATAACAAAATTGAAATTATAAAGGGACTTTATGGACACACTGTACAGGTTATATTACAGGTATCTCAACATCCAATACATAAGCACTGTCAATAATGAAATAGTTTACGCATCTTTTCAGACTCTCTTGGTCTAAAACTGGAATAAACAGCAGAAAATCACTTCCATTTCTGGCAGTTAGTGTGATTTCAAATGAAGATAAATTGAGCGAGTATTTCCGTATAAATGTAAGTACTTCTATTCTAATACAAAGTTCTCTCAATAAAGATTGATACTTGCACCAGTAATACATCGAGCACAGTACAGATCAAATATTAAAATTTGGTTTGGTAGCCTAGTTTGGTTACCTCCTACCCCTGACATGGGCAAATTATGGCCCTCCTGTAAAATCCGGCCCTTTGGTGCTGCCGCAACCAAACTGGAACTAAACTTTGAAGTTTTAGGTAAAAATAGCTCAAGCAATTTTTTGAGATTGCGATTAAATTTAGTTTTGACACGAAGTTTGTTGTTTTCCCCTTTTGCCTTTGTAACACTAGAAATATTGTTTATTAAATGTAACTTTTACGTTACACCTACATGGCCCGCCAGTCTAGGTGGGGGAAACTTTTGTCCACTGGTCCAAAAAAATTCCCAACCCCCATCCCATGGTTAAAATTGGCCCAGAAGTTTTAAACTTGAAGAAGTTGCATTTTCTAGTGGCCTCCAATAAATTTGAATTATAGCAGTGATACACACAAAATTTCTATAAATCCAACATTACATATTTTTTTTTTGCCCAGTGAAATTGTTAATTCTTGAAACTTATTCCATTTTACTATTTAGGCCTCACAAATGGCGATTGTAATGTATAAACGAGAATATTGGTCAGAGACCGAAGACTTATCGATCGAAAGTTAGGGGATCCCCAAAACAGCGCTCTTACTCCATAGTGACACCTTGTGTCCCATCACTAATTAATCAATTACTCGCTAATTATACGACATAATTCATCCAATATCAATAGGCTACTGGTCCAAAATATTATGAATGCACATGCAAAATCTGGAGCAGATTCAATCTCGCTTTCGTGAGATATCGCGTGCATCTAACAGACATACACACAGACAGACAGACAGAAAAATACCGAACATACTTACCGATTAAAATCGATTAGTAATAACATATGAAATGAGGATTATAAATAGGATTCCATATGAATAAGTCGGCTTTCCTCTTCCCCGGAAAGAATATATAAATCCTATCGTATTACGTGTTTTTATTACAGTCATATTATCGACAAATAAGCGTAGAGAACAACTACACTTACTACTCCAACACAACCACTATGGGAAAATTTAAGCTGCAATACTACGTTGCTCAAGAACACAATAGGGCTTACCCGAGTCCATGTGAATTCTACTTTGTCGTTTCAAACAAGGAGGTAAGAGGGTAGGGTGTCTTAAGATGTTTGTAATGGGAGGAGTAATTAATTAATACTATTTATATGTAGTTTGCTCCCCCCCCCCCCATCCCTGGGGCATGCCTACGGGATGGACATAGAGGCGGTCACTCCCCAGTCAGCACATGTAGGGCCAGTAGGTCCAAGCTGTAGAGTATGGTTATTACACATGTTTTTTTGATGCGTTTTATTTAGATGAAAGCTGACTTAGTCTTGTGTGATTGAATCAGCATTGGCTGACTGCCTTTTCCAGGCAGTGTGCTCCTCTGGTTATTGCCCGATTTACCTCAATAATACAAACATTTTATTCTCACTTGACCTTTAATTTATTCACTCTCATGTATAACAACATCTATAATTTGCTTATCCCCTGAAATATTTTTGAAGTTCAGTATAAGGGGCACCATTAGCAGAAACTTGCTCTAGGCAGCAGAAAAATTTGGCACGTCCCCAGTTGGCCCCTGAAAGTTTATAAAACGAGATAGCGATCAGTGACCGCCGACTTATTGATCTAGCGGCGTGTATCCTTCGCTTTGACTTAATAGCGATACCGCGTGTCCCATCACTAATTAATTAATAACTCGCTAATCATACAACAATATTCATCCTAAATCAATAGGCTTCTGAGATATGATGAATGCACATGCAAAATTTGGAGTAGATTCAACCTCTCTTTCGTGAGATATCGCGTGTATCTAACAGACAAACAGACAAATACCCATTAACATACTTACCGATCAAGATCCATAAGTAATAATAAAGTATAAACTTGAATAAATAATATAGAACAAACCTGGTTAAGTAAGATATACTGATGACTGACTTCAGTCATTATTCTCACGTTCACCCCTTACCCCATACTGAAAACTTGAAATGCTGAGTATTTTATTCCCGTGAGCTGTAAGTGTAGTTAGCCTGTCCCTGTTATTAAAGGTAATCAACTATAAATTTTAAGTCATGTAGCAGAACTGCTAAAAAACATCTGTTAAATTTCAGGATTGGAAATCAGATGAGCCCAGTTCTTTTAGGCGAACGTATCTGAGTAATTACTGGAGATACAGAAACCTGGAAATGAGAATTGAAGGAAACCCTTCGCATGTCGTATTTGGCTACATGCTTCTGGCAAGGTATAGTTTCTTGGGTACTCCCGTAGTGTGTGTGCCTGGTTAGGGTTAGGCCATAATTTTATTTCGATTTTCATTATTTTGTTCTATTACGAGTTCGGGGACTGTCTGTGTTAGCCAAGTGAATATACACTTGCCCGAAAGTTTCAGTCATTTTACACAACTTGACGTAAAATAGGCGAACAAAATCAGGTACCTCCATATTGATACATACACTTCCGGAGCGTCCAAATTTTTTTTGTTAAGATTAAGAATATATAGATCAAAACCATTGTAACTAGAACGATGTAATGTTTGAAAGTTTGAACGTTTGTCAAATTGTTTAGGTTGCTTGTCGACGTTATGCCCTAATGGTTAAAGCGTAGACTTAACTGTGCTGGTATCGCAGTGTAAAACATCCCACGTCAACCACCTCACCCAGAGTCTAACAAACTGGATAGGCCAAATTTTAAATATTCAGCTAATTGAGGAATATAGTTTATCTATAAGTATGAGTGGAAGTTTGTATAAAGCGGATAGTTTCAAGGGACCTCCTGAAGTATGCGCACCATGATGGCGCACTACCTGAACTCAGGTTGTGTACCAGGTTAGGGTTCAGGTTGTGCGACATCTTGGTGCGCATACTTTAGAAGTGCCGTTCCAAGTCTCGTGTCGAACTCTTTCCACTAGCATTTTTCGCGCGTGGATAAACTATTACATAGTCACGTTCTTGACAATTGCTACTCTTCTGTCAATACTATTTCCACTTAGAGACCCGGCATCTCGCTTTGATAAAACTTGTATTTAAAACCAAATTGGGCATGTGAAAACCGAACTACAACAATTTTTATTTAAACTTTGATTCAAAAAAATGTTTAAAACTCAAATTGCTAATCGCCATTTTGAAATTATTTCGTAGCGCGAACGGATAATTTTTAGGTGAGTATAAACCTGTCTGTTTTCAGAAAAGCAAATTTGAATATCACATCTGCTGAGACCATAGCTCAAGCTCAGAAAGTCGCTAAAGTTGTTTTGGAAGCATTTTCAACACAAAAAGACTTGTTTAACGGTAAGATATGATAGTGCAGTGCTTCCAAAGCTTTTTTTCGCTACAGTCTTCTCCCTCATCATCGGTATGTATAAAATCCCCATTTCCGTTATTTTTCAATATTTAATGAATTGAGGCGCTTCCGCACAAGGGGGCGTAGACATTTTTTTTATTGGGCGTGAAGCTAATTAATATAAAGCCACATACAATCACAAACAAAGTGTTCGAGATTCGATTCGTTTCGTAAAAAAAATTATTTGTTGCGACTCTGAAATCATCAGGTGTTCGAAAATGCTCAGCCCTACTCATAAGCACAACATATTGCAACTGTTTATAAACAATAAAATCACAGTGGACTTTTACCTGGATATACTCTTTCATACCCTGCATAAAAAATTAATTAAATTTAAATTTATTATCATGCTAAGAAAAACTATAAATATCATAAAGTAAATGCACACACATATACACCCACACACAACACAACAAACAACACACACATTAAACCACTCTAATTATATAACGTATGAGTCGCCATCAAGATTGCTAATAATTGGATAAGTTGAATGATCGATAACCATTGTTCTTAACTTTTTTTAAAATTGATTATACTTCAGAGGACGCCGAAGAAAGTCTTCAGGTCCCAATTACATTCGACCAAGGCAGCAAGCAAGATATTTTGAACATGATTCCACCTGTCTATACAGACTACATTACACCAGGATACCTGCAGTTTAGGGCCAACAATTTAGCTGGGTATCCTAATGCTCTATGTCCCGGAATCTCGTAAGTATTCATTGTCTTAGTTCGGAGTTCTTTAAAATTTTACCATCACGGCTCCTTTTGCACGACCAAACTCCGGGAACTAAAATAAAACCAACGTAGGTTTGAAATGCCGCATAAAATTTTCTGGAAACACAGGGTCGTCACAATGCATGATACGAGAGCTTTTAAAATCTCTGCAACATTGGTTGCTGTAGTAAATGTCGAATTCCTTTTTTTTGTTTTGTTGCGATAACAATGTATAGGTATGGACGGAAATATATATCTTTCTTGTCTAAGGTGATGCGGGGTGTATCGTGGTAGTCAAAATAGGACCTTATGATATAGATTAGGAGGTTTCAATGGCCTATTTAGTAAGAACTTTGTTATTGGGCACAAAGTCTGAATATGGATCATTTTGCCAACTTCTTGTTTTGGTTGTCGTTGTTGTTTTCGAGGAAAAATAACTGTTTCCGCATCTAATGGACCAGTCACTTTTAATATTCTAAAGGTTTATCCTTTCACAGTGTTCAGTCTATCTCACCAGAATACCTTTGCATCGGTGGAATATCAAGCGATGTGTCTGATCATGGAACGTGTGGAGACTTCGCAGGTAAACAAAACTTCACTAATACATACTCAGTATTTGATCTTGTGTCCGTATTATGTTATTATTATTACAAATTTCAGTTAATTTATTTTCATTTAGTACTAGATCATCCAAGTCCAAGGACCGGACCCGATAGATGTTGCGGTCTCACTTGGCAATTAGAATTTTTAGAACCCCGCTCTTTGAAAATTGCTGGCTACGCCCTTGGGGGCGGTACACAATGTTGGAAAACTTAACTACTCACTTTACATCTAATCCGTGGTAAACATTAAAAGCGGACAGCATTTGTTTTTGTGTGCAGTCTCGTTCAAGACAAATTAAATTAAACACTTTATTGACGAAGTTTAATGGATCTTAATTAACTTTATCATTCTAGGCTGGGGTGGACGAGAGGATGATTCTATATTAACTCATCAACCATCTGGATCCGCTCATTCGCACAGGGATTTGTTCTCGTCTTTACTCCTGTTTTATCGTTGATTGGAAAGCCTAACCAACTGTTTAGTTAGTAAGGAAGAAAACTGAAGATTGAAAATGAAATGAACTGTATTCATCAATATTATAAAATGATGATTTTTTTGCTATCAAAATTACTTTTATTACAATGTATCATTGATTGACCCATAGGTTATTTTTCTGATCGTATAGAACCTCCTTTATTCGCCTTGTCAATCGGTTATAAAGAACGTTCAATCGTACGTTATGTTTTTTCATATTTTCAATAGCTATTTTTGTTTTATTTATGGCTCGTAACTCAATGAAATCGTTTATTATTAGCGATTCGGGAAACAGGCACAATGAAATGAAAGCAAATTCAAAAGTATATATTTTTCATGCGTTCGCCCAGAATGGACAAAATAACCGTGAAATGACCATTCGATCTTTTTGCTCTTAAGTGGGCGTGCTTGACCTATCGTTTAGACCAAATTCTCTCACAAAACTATTTGACGTCAAAACATTTTCACATTCAATTTTTGGTTTATTAATTTTGTTTATTCTTCATTACATGATTTAGCAATAACCAGACAAAAATTTTTGATATATGGGGTGTCCATAAAGTTATAAAATTTTTTTAAAATTGCAAAGGGAATTTATCGATACCATACATTGTTTTGGCTCTCGCAGATGTATTGAATGAAGTAAAAATACTTATAAAAATACTTGTTGAAAAACAACAGATCTGGTTAAGATATATTGAGAACTGACTCCATAACAAAATTGAAAGTGTAAAGAAATTTTATGGACACTCGTATATTTCATTGTATTTTATTAAATAATTGTTAATTAATAATGGGCAGCTCCACAGTTCTATCACCTCAATAATTTGTGTCTTTATTGTTTTTTAGTGATTTTAATTGTATTATTGTTTTTCATTGTTAAAAATAATTCCCAAATTTTTTTCTTCGACTATTAAAACTCAATGAACTTTTGAGGTGAAACTTTAGGTTTTAGAGATGCACACCGAGTCACGTGTGAAGATTGTGTGCCCAAAGTTTGTGAAAGTTTCAGACTATAGTTATGATTTATTATTTAATGATACGTTTTTTCACGGAGATCTCAGATCTTGCCTAGCCTCGGGTTTAGAAATTTGGTTGGTAATGTCGAACTGTTAAAATACCTTTTCAAAATTTGTAACACTTCATTTATCTCTTGTGCTAAGTGAAAGTGTGGAAATTCCTCATGAAAATTTGATTATTACATATCATGATTGCTTCTTTAAGAATATTTAAATAATTGAATCCGCTTTTTATTAGCGCATGTCTTTACAATGTATGCCTGTCTGCCATCTGAGAATCTTCATTAATAATATCTGATGCACTGTGTTTTTTTATCAAGTTTTTCGAATCATAGTTTTCTCTTGTCACTGGAAAATAAAATTCAACATGTTTTTGTTAATATAATGATTACTATATATTTCTCACCTTTGCTCAACTTCAAATATAATGAGTTGTATATATCATATAATATTGTGAATGTGCTCAATTTGGTGTGTTCAAAACATCAGGTATTCAATTTTTTGCTCATTTAAAACATACTTCGAACATGCGATTAAGGCATCCTGTGAAATTTGGCAAAATATGTTCGGTCGATCGCGGAGGCCTCTCGGGCAGACCAAGGCGGTGCAATAGTGTCACGAGCTGGACAAGTGCAATATAAGGCGGGCGAATGGGACACGAAGTTCTTGCTTTCATATATTAACAGCTCAATGTATGTATTACACCAGCGGTTTTCAAACTTTTTGTCCGTGCGGCGGCAAATTCTTATTTAAAAATAAATGGACAATAAAACATTTATAATAATTACAATATGTAAAATATTCAATCATATAATATAGTTATGTTAACACAACTTGAGAACCGCCATTTGAGAACCGCCGTGTTACTCATTGTTAAAGATTGTTAAAATGGAGCTCCAGAAGTATGTGTACCAACATGGAGGTAACTAATTTTGTTCGCCTAGTTATGCAATAGGACTAAAACCTATAGACAGGGATTTTATTCACTTGGCTAACACAGACAGTCCCGATCTCGTAAGAGAACTAAAATAAGGAAAATCGGCATAAAATTATGATCTAACCGTAACCTGTTACACATACTACGGAAGTACCCTTAAAATGTCACAGTTCCTTTATGTACAATTGCACCTGGTTCATTCTACATTAAATGTATCAATTGTATAAATGAGATTCCAATAAAGCCAAGTAGAGCCACTAGGCCGCAGGGGTCACCAGACTACGGCTCGCGGCGTCATTTTATCCGGCCCGCAATAACACGCAAAAAGGGCTAAATTTTTTTCCAAGGAAGATTTCCCCGAGCATCGTCTTCCTTGTTTATTTCGTAACATTGACCAATCAGCAAGATGCAAAAAAAAACGTGACGTAATAAAAAGCCTCTTCGCATCTCAGCTCAGATTACTTTTGTTATCCTGACAGATTTCCAGTCGTGGTTGTAAACAATACTTCGTCTTGCGACTTAGAATGCTATTCGTTAGTTTTTGATTGTGTTTCGGAAATTTAAGTATGAATCAAATAAGTCAACTATCATTTGCATCCTTAGGAGTTATAGTTTTAATAGTAGTAATAAAAAATTAGTCTAGAAATAGCTGTGAAAAAATAGGCTAGAATTCTCTACCGGTACGCAACGTTTTCTGCGAAAGATGCACTTGTACACTCGTGGCGCGTGTATACGACGAAACTGTTTACGTTTCTTGTGCTAAAATAAATGTTGAATGTGCATTTTGCGCTAACAGTACTATAATCCCTCTCGTACTGCTCCAATTTCATAAGTCACACTATTTTTTGTACTGCTCAAATGCGGATATTCATGTAGTATGTTACAAAAATAATTAAAGTTCATCCGATTTAAATAAAAACTGCGCCAGTGGATAGATCTGAGTGAAAATAGAAAACAGAACCAAGTTTATAAAAAATGGTCAGAAATAACCGAGATATCGGAATTTTAGTACCGTCCGACAGGGCAATTATTTTCATAAGGATTGTATTACTTTTTTGATAAGAACTGTAATAAATATGAAAAAATAACACATGTCAATCACTAATATTAAGATTATTTCGGGATTTTATTCTGGCAACGGTCATTGACACCGCCGAAAGATCGTCGCCAATAAACGCTGGAATTGTGCATGATAGTTTAATTTGCACTACGTATAAAAGGAGGGAGGCGGAATTTTTAAAAGCATCGAAAGCTGAGAAATGTAAACGCTAATGAAAAAAATCAAATACCAGATATGTTGTTTATTTTATCCAAATTATGTCAAAATTTCATGGAATTCCAAGCTACAGCAGGCAGTCCGTAGTCGTTTTTAGCGGTAGCAGTATTCCAACACGGCGTAACAGTACTTAGCAGACGTGAAGCGTACATTATTTTGGCGCGAAATAGCTGATTTTGTAACATTCCTAATTCATGACAGCAACGTTTTGATAACAGCTAAACTCAGGATAGTTGTCTAGATATAGAAATCTTGTATATTTGTTTTCTAGGATGTTTTTGATCAATATTCTGCGATATAGATAGAATTAAATATTCAAGTCTTCAGAAATGTAGAATATATATTGTTAAATAAATTGAATGAATTTCCCAACTCTTGTGAATTTATTTTATTGCATTGACAAAAATATTCATTCGGCCCGTTTCAACTCAGTTTGAGTCATACCCGCGGTCAAAAAAGTTTGGTGACCCCTGCACTAGGGTCTAGACTTCAGACCAAAACAGTTACTTACTTAATGACAAAATCGTCAAATATTTACACTGTTACTTATTCCGAAATCATTACCTAAAGCAGATAAAATTCATCATATCAATGCTATCAGTATGTCAGACATCTGCTTTCGAAAACTTCAGGTTAAAACTGTCGGGCCATGTTCACAACATGACGTAAGTACTTCCAGTTGGCGTCACACAACCATTTTCGCATATGGTATACCTAACCACCACCTGACTACGCCATTCAATAAATACGTCACTAACGTACCATTACGCCCCCCCCCCCCAAGTTTGGGATGCGAAGGAACATAGTCGCTCGAAACCTCATGGTATTGATGTTATTCTAGAGTTCTGTATGTGACGTTTTGCAAAATTTATCGCACACTCTTCACAGGAAGGTTTAAATGAGGAATCATATTCACATAATTGGACTTGCAGTAATGTTTGTTGGGTTGGGCTTAGAGTAATATCCTCACTTTGCAAGTTTTTTCCAATCTCATTTTACAGACAGTTTTCACAATGCAACAAATCTGTTAGCAAACATATGCATGCAAAATTCCAATTGATATATTAATTGTTGCTGACATTGTTTTGCAACGCAGCCAAAACGTGATTCATTGATTGGATACAAAAGTTGCATTTTTTAATTTGAAATACGGTACTTTTCGTCCATGCGATCAATTATTTGTGTACACTGTACAGTAAGAGAGTATTCGGGGCTTTCAACAATTAATGTATTTTGCGCCAGACAATTTAATTAAAGCATATTTTTAATTGGAGATGGGCGCGGAATTTTCTGCCATATTACTCTTCACAGTACGTAACGATTTATACTAGCATGCAATTATGCATTATGCATTGAATACAAAAGTTTTCAATCGAAATTCAGTACATTCCGCTTATTCGATTTTGCAATCCGCGGAAGTGTACGTGTAGTGAGAAAATTTTAAGAACAATATAAAACAAACTTTCAATTAGAGACGTATACGCGGAACTGCCTTATTCAACTCTCCACAGTTAATATAGTAACGATATATACTTGCGTACATTTATGCATTTTGATTATGGATTTGAAGTTGCGCGTTTGCGTGTTCTCGTGATATCTATTCGATTTAATGAAATAATGTTCAATGTAAATACTCTACATTTAATAAGTTTTATTTCACAAATTCAAACATTAAAGCTTAAGTGCAGGGGTTGCCCAAATTAGTTTTTTTGATACGAAAACCGATGTCATATTCGCGCATTTCAGCTAGGTATTACAAGAGCATTGAAGCAATTTTAGCTTCGTATTGTTAATTTATTTGGCGCTTATACACTCTTTTCACTCCGAACAAGACTATGTATATTCAACCCTAATATCTCACGATTAAATATCTACTGTGTATTCGAGATTTTAATTAGAAAAAATATTCGATTCTATTCTGAAATCATTAGCTATTCGAAAATGACTAGCCATACGCATGGCATGGAAGGAGTTACTTTTATCTCAAAGGAACGCAATCCTTCTGGCTCAGCATTGTCAGCTTAATTGTACGTTTGTGACCTATTTTTAACTTGATTATGTTGTAATGCCTCTAGCAGTTTGTTTGTATACATCGCACGTAACTTTGACGTCAATGGATAAAGATGAACAAAGGATAAATAATCGAGATTGAAGATTATTCCAAAATACGTTATTATTACTCTAATTTGCATATTTTATATTATTTTTTGTAAATGCGATCTGATTATGGAAAAATAACGAATATGCGTGTGATGCGATAATATGCGATGAATGAACCAAGACCAAACTTGAAAATACGGTCTTACTACTTACTGAATACAGCGCGAAACACCGCAAAAAGCGCAAAACAGCGCAAAACAGAGGGAAACAGCGCAAAACAGTGGGGAAACAGCGCAAAACAGCGCGAAAGAGCGCAGAACAGAGGGAAACAGTGTAAAGCAGAAAAAATTTTTGCAATGAGTTCGGGACACCTTGTTTTGAGTTGGAGTACCACGGCAGCAAATTAAAAACACAAACCAACGTATGTAGTCAGTAATGCTGTAATGGCAAGTCTACCCCTGCTGGTAACACATTTTGGGTATCATAATAACCCTAAAGCCAACCATATCCATATGGAAAATGTTCCAAATTATGGTACCCAAAATGTGTCACCAGCAGGGACATACCTGCCATTACAGCATTACTGGCTACATACGTTGGTTTGTGTTTTTAATTTGCTGCCGTGGTACTCCAACTCAAAACAAGGTGTCCCGAACTCATTGCAAAATTTTTTTCTGTTTCACACTGTTTCCCTCTGTTTTACGCTCTTTCGCGCTGTTTTGCTCTGTTTCCCCACAGTTTTGCGCTGTTTTGCGCTGTTTTGCGCTGTTTTGCGCTGTTTTGCGCTGTTTTGCGCTGTTTTGCGGTGTTTCGCGCTGTTTCGCGCTCTTTGCGGTCGGTGTTTCGCGCTGTATTCAGTAAGTAGTAAGACCGAGACGAATGTGGCCAGGATTGAATAATTATCGTTTTAGTGGCAGCGACATAACTGAAAAATGAAACTATATGTTGAAATTTGTAATACATTAGTTTAAGATTTAGCTTCATGACTTTGTTATAAGAAAATCATCAATTATGAATTTAGTTTTAAAATTCCTTAAATCTAC